TCTCTCTCTCTCTCTCTCTCTCTGTGTGTGTGTGTGTGTGTGTGTGTGTGTGTGTATGTGTGAACGTCCCACCGACAATGAATCTTCCTCTTTATCAAGGAAGATTCATTCTCATTGGGCATGTCTTCCTTCCTTTTATCTTTTCTTTTTTTTGGTGCAGAATGTTGTTTGTTTTTTTGTGTTTTTTTCTTTTCTCTCTTTTTCCATGATGTACTACCAGTAGTCCGAGGCTCGGCAAGAAATTCCGGGGCTCGAGATGATCGGGTGACCGGTCGCCCAAGCCTCGGACTTGATAGCTGGGCGAGGTACTAGTGGTTTAACAGGTCTGGTGCAAAAGACTGATGATCAGGGTGGGGTTATCTGGGATTCTGTGAGTGAGTTTTCAATTTTTGTCCATCTTTTTTTTAGGGTGTTGGATATAGAGATACATTTGGTGAAGAAGCTGTAGCCTAACGAGGGTTTGTAGTGACATAGCTTGTGTAGTTGTCAAACAGTGACAGCGGGGTTGCGGGCGCTCCAGGTCCATTCCGTTGGGTCTATTTCTAGACTCTGTATATTTGATAGGGGTTTAAACTTTAAACTTTAAAGACTGTTTCTTTCTCCTTCTATGATCCTTGTTCTTTGCAGGTTACTCGTTTTGAAAGATCCTTCTGCTCTGGTTTCTGTTTTGAGGAGACTTACTGGGGTTCCTGGTTCCTCAAGGGTGAAGAATCTGAAGATGTTGCAGCAAATCCAATTTTTGTTTTGGTTTTCGTAGTGTTTGAATTTGAGGACCTCTAGTATTTTTCCCTGATCCTTTGTTGACGCCCAATCACCGTATTGCCATTTTTGTTTGGTACATAGTAGATGTCGCCATTCTAGAGGTACGCTCTCGATTATCTGGTTCAGGCTTGCTTGCACGGGGTGGATTCCCTTCAGTGTTGGTCGTAGGTCCTTTTCGGATTTCCAGCAGTTGGTTGTTTCTTCCCAAAGATGTTGGATTTACCAAATACCTTTCTCTACCCTGTGGGCCCATTTGGCTTCTGATTTGGAAAGAGGGAAGCTTTCACCTTTCTCATTTCTAATCCAGATATTCCCGAAGAGGAGTTGCCTGAGCCCTTTCTTTGGGTTCTCGCTTGTTTTATGGGAAATGATCATTGTCCTCCTGGTGTTGTTGTGGTATTGGTTCCTTTTGTTTTTGGGAAGAGGCCAATGTTTGTTGAAGATCCAGAAAAAGTTCTGACATGTTTTCCGGTGATTTGAATGGGGCTAGCTCTCGAATGTGTTTGAGGGCTAGAGGTATCCAGTGTAAATTGTCATGGAACTTGATGGAAGGCAATTCTCAAGATCCACTTAATTTGGAGGGCCTGGATTTGGCGGACTGAATCTAGCAGGCCCAAGCCACCCTTGTCCTTGGGTTGAGTTACTGTTTGCCAGACCACCTTATGGATGAAGTGTGTGTTGTCAGGATCGCCTGACCACAGGAAGGCCGTTGTCTTTCAACGTATTTGACTTTGGAAGTCGTCTGATGGAAACCATATGGAGGTTGCGTACCACATTATGGCTAGGATCGAGTCATTTAATGTCAGGACCATGCCTAGTAGTGACGTGTGGATACCCTTCCAAGTATGCATTCTATTTAATCATAGATGATAATAGGGAGGCGGCTGATGTACTGTGACATTGTTTTGAATTCAGAGAGATTCCACAAAAATGAAATGGGCCAGAAGGGTCTGCCCAGTGCATCCCGTCTGGAGTGAGTTCGATGGGAGGGGGGACTTCTGCGATCCACCAACCAATTGTTTTTTCCCAGTTCACTTTCATTTCTGAGGCCAGTTGGAAAGATTACATTGTTCTTGTCAAAGCTTGGAATGATGAATTTGAGGCCCTGATGAGAACTGTGAGATCGTCAGCGAATTGGAGAGTGGTCGGTATGTGAAGGGGTTGACATCTTTCGCCCTTAATGCTCGCGAGTCCCTCAATGGAGGGACCTTTCTCATGAAGGCTGAGATGGCTTCCGTTACGAATAGGAAAATGGGGGCTGCCAGTAGGTCTCCTTGTCTGGTCGATGTTGACATTTTGTAGGGGTTGGAGAGAAAGTCGTTGATTTGCACTATTCCTTGAGCGTCATTGTGAAGTATCCTCACCCATTTTCGGAAAATCGGGCTTACGCCCATCCTTTCCATGCAAGGTTGGAGCAAATCCCAGTTAACTTGGTCGTAAGCTTTCTCAAAAACGAAGAAAAGAATTGCAGTTGTGATCTTCTTTTGGTTTATTAATCTCGTGGACTCGCTGAGGGCCATTATATTGTCTAATATAAGCCTGTCGGGGATGAATCCTATTTGGTCTAGGTGGAAGCAGCCTCCTGTAACTCTGTTTATTTGCGAGGCTAGGAGCTTGGCTAATATTTTATAAGAGATGCTTAGTAGATATTTGGCCTATAGTTTCTAATACCCTCTTTGTTTCCTTTTTTGTAGATCAGGGTCACTACTCCCGTACTTAGAGTTGGTCCTAGGGATTCTTCTTCCCAGGCTCTGTTAAGAAAAGATAGGAAAAGGGGACCGAGTTTATGCCAACTCGCCATCCAGAATTCTTTGGAAAGGTCATCTTTGTCTGGGGCCTTATTGGGTTTTAATTTTAAGTCCTTAAGCGCTCTGTGAAGTTCTTCCAATGTGATGGGTGCTTTGAGGGATCTTGCTGTTTCGGATGACAGTGTGCGATCTAGGTGGGTCAAAATTTTGGCCCTAGCTCTTAATATTTTGTTTGTCCTGCCTGGTGGGGTTTTGCTGGTATATAGTTCTTTATAGAATTTGGTTGCGATGTTGACTAACTGAGTTGTTTCAGAGGTGGCAATGCCTTGCTCGTTTAGTAGGTATTCTATCTTTGAGTTTCATGAGTTTGATTTGATTTTTCGGAAGAAGAATTTGGACATTTTTTCATTAAGTTCCCAGTCTTTGACTCTTGCCCTAACTTGTAACCCCCTAAGTTTCAACTTTGTTCATTCTGATAGTTCCTCCTTGGATTTGGAGTATAATTCTGCATAAAACAATGAGGATGAGTCTCTTTGGAGATTTATCTAGGCCATACTTGCAACCGCACGAGCCGCACATTCGTGCGGAGTTCCGTGCGGGGGGTGCCTGTGCGGAATCGCGCAGGTTTTTTATTATTATTATTATTTTTATTTTTTTGGGGAGTTGGGATGGGGTGGGGCGTATGACAGGAAGCTGGGGATATGGCGAGTAGAGGGGGATATGGAGAGGAGGAGGATGTGGACGAGGAGGACGGCGAGAATAGCGAGGACGACGACGAGGAGGAGGAGCAGATATGGGGGAGGAGAAGAGATGGACGGAGGGAAAGAGGAAGGGCGGGAGGAGGACGAGTGGGAGGAGGAGGAGACATGGACGGAGAGGAAGAGGAGGACATAAGGAAGGTAAGGAGACGAGGAGGCATGGAAGATGGCGAAGTACGAGGAGGACGAGGAGACAAGGAGGATGAGGAAGGGCAGGAGGAGGACGAACAGGAGGAGGAGACATGGAGGGCAGGAGGAGGAGACATGGAGGGCAGGAGGAGGACGAAAAGGAGGAAACGAAAAGGAGAAGGGAGGAGGAGACATGGAGGAGGAGGAAGGGGAGGAGGAGCAAGGTGAGGCAGCACTCCTGCAATTTTTTTTTTTTCATCCCGCTTATAATTTTGGCGGGGGGTCTCGAACGCACCGTTTCGAACCCCGGCCTTCTTCTTTTTTTTCGGAGGGGGGTGACGGGTCGTTCCCCGCACAAGTCGTGTGCCGCACAGGATCGGTTGGGTGCGTGCGCCGCACGTCGGGAACTGCCCGCACGAGGTGCGCTTGCATGTATGATCTAGGCCATTTGTATTGCGTTTCTTAGTGCTTCGTTCGTTTGGTTGCTAGTCTTGTGGAGGAATGTGATACCTCGGCGCTGATATTTTTTATGATTTCTGGGAATTCGGGATATATGTCCTCATTCGGGCTTGAAATCGGATAGATCTATGCTGTTGGATTGGGGGTTGGGGTCCTGTGAGTTGGAAATTCTGTCTGGGGTGGGGTCTTGTACCGAGTTCCAATCTCCCATAATAATGGTATGATTATGGGTGGGGATAAGTTGTTCTATAGAGAGAAGGAAGTTTTTTTTTACATGCGGGGCATTTGGGCCATATATATGCCTAGAACGGTTATATCTTCATCTTTGAATTTGATATCAATCTTCGCCCATCTGCCTGCCGTTTCATCATGACTTGAGGATAGCACTTCAATATTATGGTTAGCGGCTGATTTTTGGTGGAAGAGAATGACGGTGCCTGCTGAGTCATTTGGTGCTGCTGTAGACATACTGCATGCTTGACGAGATGTGATTTCCTAAGGATTGCTGCTTGGATCGATTTGCGTTCTTCACTATCGGTGAGATGACCTTCTTGTAGGCATATTATGTCAGGGGGGGGTTGCCTGAACCAGCCTATGATATCAGTCAGATTTCTCCATTTGACTACAGAAGCACCCTTCTAATCTCACCAGGCAGCAAAAGTATGGCAAATGAATTCTGAATGAGGCCTTCCTGCCAACTCGTCAATTTTGAGACGCAGCTACTTGCCTAGGCCTATAGTGTCTGCCTACCAAACAAAAAGCCTAAGATTTCCAGCCAAAAGGTCCTACCACTATGCTAAGCAAACAGAGATTGTACACGCAGGTCCCGGGTTCAGAACTCACCAACAGTGAAGGAAAACAGAACAACTGTAGTTACTTTGTTCAATTCCAGCTTCGGATCCTGGCAAGAACAAAAACAACAGAAACTTGAAATACATGAAATAGCTGGGCGGGTTGCAGGTTCAAGTCCCGCAATCCCAACAGTCCTACCCCCTCAGTTCGGAGTCTGAGAACATTACAAAGTCCTACCGAAAAGGGTTTCTGCATTCGCCCAGAAAATTAAACACAAAATTCTAGAAAGTGTAAGCACACTTCAATCTATATGTCAGTATGTACAACATGAAATCTCAAAGTTGTAGTTCCAGAATCAGCTCCTGCATTTACTCTCCCGGAGTTCCCTCTCGCACCAAGCAACTATCTGAGGTGCCATCTGCATTCGCTCAGTGCGATCAATCCATTCATCCTCGTCCTCATCAGGGTAGTACCTGAACTTGACCCTGTGGATGATGCTGGGACTTCCTCTCTGCTGGTGCACTATCCTTTGCTCCACGATTCTGACAATGTTTGCATATTCATCCGTGGTGGGAAGATGCATCTTTCTCCTGCCCGTCACTTTTAAGGCCGTGTAAGTGTTCAGATGCGGAAATATGTCCACAAGGTGAGAAGGTCCATCTAATACCTCCCGAGGTCCACACCACTTAGGTAAGAGTTTTCTGCAGACATATTTTCGACTGCAAACTTGTCCATGCTCACCTATACCAGATCTCCCTCCATCGTAGAAGGGCGGTGGTGCTTATTGGCTAGATCAGCCATTGCCTGTTGCGCCTTCTGCAGACTCCCGATACCTCCTCGGAGTTCTTCAGCAAACTGTATGGTGAACTCCATCATGAGCTGCTGATCAGGGAAGGTCCATAGGCATGTGATCCTTGATGCAGCTCAGCAGGTGTATGGTTGCATTGTGCACGGAACAATTGTTGGCCACATGTCGGTCAGAATTGATCTGATCAGGTCGTATCAGATGTTGAAGTGTTGAAGGTCCTGTTCTTGGTTGCGATTCGTACGCCCCCCAGACCTGTGGTTAACAGTTGACCATGTAAAACACTGAAAGAATGATTTGTTGGCCAGTATATGTACAGCCGTACAAACTTATAGTCATACGGTAGTTGTAAGCAAGGGGCGCAATGCAATTTTATAATTTTATTATTATTAATATCATTAATATCATTATTTTTGGTGAAGCTCTCCAGTAGTGTCTACGGAGTCCATACACCAAAAAACCTCTTGGAACTACTGTTTTCTGGGAGTGGTATGACATAAAATTGCCCCCAAACAGCCTCCCACTCCATTTGGGGAATAGTTGGTCCTCTTGCACAGTCTTGCATTTGGCCTGCATCCAGCCTAACCTGCCTTTTTTTCCCCCCTTTTCTTTGGGCGCGCAGAGACTTTACTGGAACAAGCTATTAAGTGGGCTGCGGCCAACCGCGGCAGCAAACGGCCGTGAGCAAAATCTGTGTCTACACGCGGGAGCTGGGCAGCGATTTTCTGTGGATACGTCTCACCAATGGAATCCGCAGGGGGAAAAACAACAAAAAAACACAACGACATATGGCCAACATCAGGGACAATTCAGTCCTTGGCAATGGCAGGCGGGAGTACGTGGGCCTGAGTGGTATTGTGTGGGTCCGGTAGTAGCATGTGGGTGGGTCATACCATGTGGACCTGGCAGCAGTATGCCAGATACGGTGTTAGGAAACCCGGGGAGGGGCGCCTACTGTTCGCCGAAGCCAAGGGCGACGGCGCCTGTCACTCGCCGCGCCCGCTTCCGAGGTCCTCGGCGACCAGCAGGGGTTGGGGGTTAAATGTGCCCTGTCATCCCTTCACACTGAAGGCTTACTTCATCCCCCGTAGGATCGTCAAACTTCACGAGTCATCTTGCTCAATAAAAATTTACAGTTCCTTGACGCGGCACGAAATCTCAGATCAGCCTTGTTCTCGAGTATTTACTGTTCCGCGTCAGAAGCATTCTCCCCCTTTTTTTTTTTTGTTGTAAATAGTAATAAAAAAAGTAAAATCACGGAGTGTACATTGCCCGGGCAACCTCAAGCCCTCCTCTCTTTCCACGCTCCCTGTCCTTGCACTCTCTTCTCTCTCTCTCTCTCTCTCTCTCTCTCTCTCTCTCTCTCTCTCTCTCTCTCTCTCTCTCTCTC